ACTTGGCGACCAATTCTTTTTACATAATATCAACTTTCTAGCGATAAAAACAGTTTCCGTTTTGCAGGTTTTGATACACAAGTTGAAAAAACGGATTTCATGTCTTGCTACTGCAAAGGATATATATAGAATCAATAATGGTGAATATGAAAAAATGGAAACTGATAACTATAGGTTATCATTGGTTGAGCAGGAAATATGTGAAGGTGGGTAATATGTCATGTGACTTAATTATAGGTTATCATTGGTTGAGCAGGAAATATGTGAAGGTGGGTAATATGTCATGTGACTTAATTATAGGTTATCATTGGTTGAGCAGGAAATATGTGAAGGTGAGTAATACGTCATGTGACTTAATTATAGGTTATCATTGGTTGAGCAGGAAATATGTGAAGGTGGGTAATATGTCATGTGACATAAGTATAGGTTATCATTGGTTGAGCAGGAAATATGTGAAGGTGAGTAATTTGTAGATTAAGTAAGGAGAGTCATTGTTTATGTTTGTATGCGAGTTATCGATTACTTAAAATAATACCTAAATTACTGTCAACATTTCATTTAATTTTGCAGGTTCCGATTTATTTCTTGCTTGTAGTAGATCTAATTGGTCTGATATGGTGAGATACAGTCGAGATGTTCTCCATAAATTGACTATTGAACTACGGCAATTGGTGCCAGATTTACCTAAAACAATATATGGAGTTATATAATTATTAGTGTGGAATAATGCGATATGACAAATCTCAGTAGCTGGAATTAAAAGCACCACAGCCATTGGATGATTGGTCAACTGGACGATTTGAGAAATAAATGAATTATATATGAGACAGAATGACAATTAAATTTCGTCATTATTGATTTCCAAAACGAGATGGTTGGGTGTGGGTAGAATTTGTAAAAGCAAACCAAAAGTACGAATTAGGCCCTTACATTGGGAAACTTCATTGGGCTGACTGGTACAATCATTTCACCAATCAGAGGACGCTGTCACAAGACTTCGATAACACTTCACATTGTGAAATTCTTTCGTTTTCTAGAAGGAAAAAAACACGAAAAACTGATTTTGAAAAGATAATTCAGAAATATATTAAGAATAATTCATAACAAAATGTATTCCCTATGCACCCATAAATAATTGTCATAATTACTGATTACACAAGAATATTACAGACGAAAATTGCTATATTCTCTATATTTTTCCTTGAATTATGACTGAATGAAATTATAAATTATGTAGTGTGTTCAACAACTCATGTATGAACAATATGTTTAATAAATATGATTTTACTTGCTAAAATACTGTATTTGTCTGTATAAAAACGAAAGAATTTCACAATGTCGAAAACGCAATGTCTTTATCGCAGTGTTCCATGTCTTTCTGTTCCCCAAAATGCTGAATCTGTGTATTTTTTATGTGATTGATAAAGGTGTAATTTTATATACAAGTGATTGCAACGCACAACTGTCATTATTTGCTTGCACATGTAATCCTCTAAACTGTTATTTCTACTTAAAACGTAAATGTGAAACTTTAACTGATATGGCAATAAACACCAGTCGAACGTGTTGAGAGTATTACTACGCGTGTGGACATTAAATTTGTAGGAATAGTTATCATATGAATGTACTGACACCTTGCAATATGGTCTGAAGCATGTATAAAAAAGCAATTTAATTAGCCGCCCAACATATAATAAATAATAAACGTAAAAGGACAACACAACAGCAGCACTAAAAGACAATAAATGTGAATATTTTAATGATTAATGACAACCAATCAAACACAATCGTAAGAATTGCTTCTAATACATATTCATTGTTGGCATTATTGGAATTCCTTTATATCAACTGATGGGTAAGCAGTGAAGCGGAGAAAACAGATGGAGGCAGCTGGGGTAACGAAAACCTCTGAAAAGCCTTGCTGGAGTATAATTGCCTGATTAACATGTTTACTCAGAGATGGTCAAACTAATGTGTCGAATAAATCAAGGTAGAAATTATCTTCTGTTTTTTGATATTTCATATTTGAACGCTTTGTTTATTTTAACTGGCGTCCTCTACGACCAATATTGCAAACTAACAACTCACCCTTCATTAACTTATATGTTATGAAAATATTGAACTCGGGTAACTAATTAACACACTGTTTATTCATTCATTCATTCATCATTATTATACATCTGTCATCGTAACGCCATAAGTTACAGTTAGCCGTAATTTTCCGGTAGTTTACGGGGTATTTTCATCCGACCATATTAGGAAATGCGAATTCCAAATATGGAATGATTACGCGCGTAAGCGTCCTCTAATAATAAAAACAAACATGGTTGCAACCAGAGTTTGACCGGACTCTATACAAAGAAGTTCGCTGATTCTGTTCTGCGCGTCGGCTGATACTTCAGCTGTACTGTCTTCGTTTGAGGTATTCTCGTAATAACCACATATTATTGCAATGTTAATACAATATTAATATATTGAAATATATTATTTTGATTTCACAATCATTGTTTTATGTTGGTAGTAAATCCAAATGGGATACATCGATGTAAACTTTTCCCCAAGCAATATGATGGATTTATTTTTATTGACAACATATTTCTTGATTTTGGATGAATAGTTTTCAACAAATTATCGGTATCCCCATGGCAACAAAATGTGCCCCTTGCTAATCGATTTATTTATTAATTGAAATACAGGGCACTAAAAGGTACATTGTTTAATTTCACTTTCATAAAATAATGATATACTATCAATATCAATCAACAATCGTAAAATTAGTGATTAATAGTATATTCAATAATATCTAGCTGAAGTAGCAATTTAATTACTTACTTAATTAATTAATTTATTTATCAAATAGTAATGTCTATATAATATCTGTCACAAATGTTAAAACTGTTTTCCATTTTAAAAGAAAATTAACAAATTGACGTTTAACAAATTACAGTGACTTATTCTCTAGAAATTGAAATGAAATTAATGAGACTGCAGAACCTGCTTGTAATGCATTATACCTAGATGGTGCCGATGTCACATTGTGATGCAAATACCAGGTTTTATATGAAGTAGGTTGTGTTCACTTTTCTCGAACCTCCTGTCATCACCTCGTGTATACCATGTATCTTTTCTTACTGATTTGATTTTGCAGTGAGGAGTTAGTTGTTTTGTCTTTGGGTTTTGTTTTTTGTCAGTTGTTAAGAAGTTTGTTATATTGGGCTAGAAAATATCCCTATGCAACTTTTATGCAACACTATAGTTATTTCTACTTCTATATAATTAATATTTAAAGCCCGGCAGTCGTCGCGCTGCGCATGTGCGACATTTGTGTTGATAAACATTGAGTTTACCACAATCCAATGCGCTCTTTTTAATGGAAATCACAAGTATGAGATTTACCTGGGCGCAACTTGCAATAATTACTGCCGGTGACTTCTTCGATACCTTCCAACCACCTACAAATACCTAATTAAACGTCTCAATTTGTACTCGTTGATCTGCGCAACAGTCAAAGTCGCCATCTTTGTTTATATGAGACCCATATATCTCGCGCAATCGTGGCGCGACGACTACCGCCCTTCAAGCAGTAACCCATTGCCTGACAGGGTACACCGCATGAGTTTACACGGCGTTAGCGTTTCGGTACTGTGTAAAGAGAATAATAATTCAAACGGCCAAATTCGAGAGACAATATCAAACTGTAATGAATTAACATAAAAAACCCGAAATATTGATGACATGTGTCCAAATCGATAATTACGTGACATTTAATTTATTCAGACCTGAAATGAGAGTGCTATGTCACGAATATATAGTTAACATAACATAATTACAACGAATATTTTCATATAAAATGTTGATATGCTAGTATAATATAATGAAAACGAACTTGAAATAAAAAAATTGGTTTACTTGATATGAAAGAACCTAAGACCAATGTATGTATGTACGGTAAGATAGCAAGATAAGTCTGCGATCTTTTTAACAGTTACAGTTTTGACACAATGCAGGACGAAAATGCATGCATTGTCTCACGTTCGCTACAATGGTGTGTTTTTGTAATTGTGTATTTCAAAATGGGTAATTATTCAACCATTTGCATTGAGTTATGCGCATGTCCCTTGTGTGTTTTTGTATTGCATTGTGCGCATGTGTCAGTTTTGTTAATTGCCTCCTTTGTTTCTAGCAAGTCAGTCGTGTAAATTTGTTTTGAATTTTCCCCATCCTCCCGCCCAATTTAGTTCATGTATTTTGTCATTTCGCGTATTCTTTGTGTGAAATCGCTTTGCTCGTTTTTTTTTCGAATTTATCACTTGAGTCTGTTCATTGTAAATGTATCGTACTTGGCAACTAAGTTTTATTCATGATGATAGTGTTTGTGTTTGTGCTTGTACTTGGCTTCATTCGTGTTCTTGCGTTTGAACGTTTATTTTACTGTAGTTTTGCCTTGATATTATTGTCTCTCTAGTCTGCATTTTGCAGGTTTTTTAATTTACCTTGATACAACTAATATTTTTTTACGCCAAAACTCTGGTTTCGGCTGTTGTTGTAGGAGGAATAATTTACAGGATTAAATCAAATCTCGGTAAATAGCTGGTAAAAATGAATTCTTCCAATTTATAAACTACAACAGTGTTAGACCGCGGATAACATGCAGAAGTATAAGGTGAATATATAAACCTGGGGGCGCTGTATGGAAATTGACAATATCTGTTCACATAGGGAGTCATTTCAACTTTGGTTCAAAGAAAGAATTAGTTGGCGAATATGGCATATGATGTTACACGTGACTGTGGACGTCCACAACACACATTACTTTGTATAATTTGCTATTAAGTTATTTGATATTGATCGTACAACATGACAATACCATCAATTGTCTACTTTATTACAGCTACTCACAACAAGCTGTGACATGGCCAGGATTTGCATATTTAATCTTAGACAAAAGTCGCATGTGCGTCAGCTTGCGTTGGTACAGTAGTCAAATATAACAACACCTCAATACAATGACGGGTGTTTGCTTTATTTTCTCGTCTGTTTTACTCCTCATATCTGTATGTATTATGCAGCATAGCGATCGCTGTTAGCTTCGGCATCGCCATATAACCAATAGTAGCTGACAATGCACGTATTAATGCGAATAGTACACGTTGTGGGTGTCGTTTCAGCCAGTGTCACATTTTTCATCGCTTATTATGCTTTAGTTGAATTGCCTGCTAAAGAACCGCGATATGGTCCACCGGATGAACTACTCATGGAGCAATTGGAGCCGATATCAAACGAAGTTAACATAGCAGATACCATGTTTAAAAAGATACAAACCACGGTGAGTACAATACGTGTTATATTCAGTTGGATGTCCATTAGATGTCTGGGGTTGGATGTCCATTAGATGTCTGGGGTTGGATGTCCATTAGATGTCTGAGGTTGGATGTCCATTAGATGTCTGAGGTTGGATGTCCATTAGATGTCTGAGGTTGGATGTCCATTAGATGTCTGAGGTTGGATGTCCATTAGTAGCAACCATAATGATCGTGGCGGCAGAATGAAAGCTATAATACCACTGAATCAGCCCATCATAATCATGTAAATATTAAGGTCACCTACAAATCTGACTCCACAATCATACATACATAATGCTGATTTATTGTGTTCAGCCATCTGCGACACCGATCAAAACTAATTAGATTTCATAGTATCGACTTGAAAAGATATTTATGTGTGTGTTTTTTTCGAAGAGTTGGTGCATTCGTGTACGTACTTTTGTCATACCGAGTAATGGACTGTTTATTTGTTGCGTTAGGTTACCAACCGTGGGTTACCCCTCCCCCTCATAACCGGCACCACCCACAAATCACTGGTGGTATGACAAATACAGCTGTAATTGATTCGTTCGTGTACTTTCAGGATTTCATGAGTCTCATTTGGTTTGATCACTAAGTACTTCTCATACCAAAAACGATATGCAATGAAATTATTACGGACTAAAATTAAAAGTTATTATATTCTTTTGTATGTAGCTTGTTTGGAATTATTTTTCTTGTATTATCTTTATTATGTAAAACTAATTTAATTCTTTCCGAGTAAAGTTGGCGTTTTGCAATAAACTAAACTAGGATTTTTTTGATTATAATACATGGTGTTTTTATAATTAAATATTGCTGAACCGCTGTGCTCAGTGTTTTTTTTATTCGTAAATGTCCGATCAACCGACGTCGAAACATAGAATGTTCTGTAATAGTGTAAAGATCTAAAGGTGGTACGCTGGTATCAGATTTCTATTCGGGTGATGTCGAATTTCACTTATGACAGTTGGACATTCTCATTGACTAATGGTCAATTCCGAAATTCTCTCTCGATTGCGATGAATCATAAAGTATGCGAGCTTCATGAATTTATGTTTATGTGCCACATGTAATTACGAGTGTGACGCCTGTGTCAATACCTTCCCTGTAGGAGCACATATTAAAGACAAGTGTTATTATGGCTTGAAATATCATAAATGTTATTAAGATAAGAGCCTACTCATATTTTTGAGAAAGTCGGTCCTAAATTGCGTGACAATTTTACTATCTTTTCCCGTCATTCTTTGAACGATAATGTTTATGTAAATATATTGCTACACTACAGTATGTTATTATCAGCATGGCTAGTAAATGTACAGCGATTACTTAATTAAGTACAGTCAGGGAATAAACACTTTTCTTTTATTACAGTACCTTTTGAGAAATCGACCAAATATTCCTAAAAATCGTTGTCCATAAAACACAGTCTAAAAGCCAGGTAGCTTTTTTTCTCCTTTTGAAAGCCAGATTTTTTAAAGAAAAGGGTAAGAAAAACTGACTTTGTCGTTACCATTGGTAAAAGTGTTCTATCAGTGACAATATTTACAATATATGCAACGATCATATTTTCAACAAATAATCTGGTGACGACAAACGTTTTAAAGCGAGAGGGCCGTCACCTGCGCACGCACGGGAATTGAGTCCCAAGCAACGATCACAACACATGCTGAAAATGCAAAGGCTCGTGGGCAGACGCTTGTTTGTAAACAATGACACGCTATGGCCATATGACGCATGCGTAGGTGACGACTCCCCCGCTTTAAGTCAATATTCTTAGATTGAGTGAAATTATAATTTACACCAATCCTGGGTATTTTCATTCATGAATCAACTTTCTCAATCTGTTTAAATTTTAGAAGCAGTCGGAAGATTTTCCCAATCAAGATGTCACCCACACTTTACCACCATACGATGTAGCCATTACAAATAAACAAATCGTACACAACCCTGGATATGTTACTAAGACAACAGTTAAAACGTTGTCACAGAAACAATATTTATTTCCGGTACAAATGTGGGAAGGAGGACCGAATTGGAATTATAAGAATTACCGTATTGCCATGTTAATTGCATTGTATGGTAAACGTTCTGTGGTTACAATACCGTTTCATATCCACCACACACAACCAGATGGCTGGCTTACACATGGCTGGAGACAGTTTAACTTCACCTATGATGAAAATAAGTTAAAACAAATCATTACGCTTGTTACTCCAGAAGACTTCAAACGTGAATGTGATGGGAAAATTGATTTTATTTTACACAATCCTTTTGCTACAAAACGAGACATAAACGAATTCGTCGCCGATTATAAAAGAACAAAGGCGAGTTTCAGTGAATTGTGGGATATTCAACTTCCGGGAGAAGAAACCATACCACGTGATATTGCTGAGGTGAATCGGAGTTTCAAGGCGTTTGAAGGAGCTAGGTGCGCAGGAGTGTATCGAGCAATGGATTTCTTAGATATACTTCAAATTCCAGATAAAAGTGATATTTTAACTTTGATAGACACCTACACAGACAGAGTGCCATATATTCAACAGTTAGCTGGCCACGTGATGCCACACATTTGTGACAGAAAAGCTTTTATGGTTTTACAGTGGAGGAACAAAACTGGGGAAATGTAAGTCACGTGTTCTTGAATGACATCATAGCAAAACTATTGTGGGAGAGGGGGTACTGTTCAGTATACCGACAGTGGGTCCAGAATGAAGCTTTAGACGAGAAACTTCAAACTACCACATTTGCTTTAGGAGTGTTGAATTACCACTTGGCCCACAGGAATGTCGAGCTGCCAGACTAATCCTAGCTACTATTATAGGTAATTTTTAGACAATGGCAGATGCATTCAACAAATTCTAGATATAGCAAAATGCGAAAGTGTACGTTCACATTCAACAGTGAACCGACAGGACGTACCTATGACAGAACAGAATTGTACCACTGACAGGACATAACCGTACCATCGATAGGACATGTGCAGGCGACAGAACAGAACTATGTCATAGGCAGGACAGAACTATGTCATTGGCAGGACAGAACTATGCCATTGGCAGGACAGAACTATGCCATTGGCAGGACAGAACTATACCATTGGCAGAACAGAACTATGCCATTGGCAGGACAGAACTATGCCATTGGCAGGACAGAACTATGCCATTGGCAGGACAGAACTATGCCATTGGCAGGACGGAACTATACCATTGGCAGGACAGAACTATGCCATTGGCAGGACAGAACTATGCCATTGGCAAGACAGAACTATACCATTGGCAGGACAGAACTATGCCATTGGCAGGACAGAACTATGCCATTGGTAGGACAGAACTATGCCATTGGTAGGACAGAACTATGCCATTGGCATGACAGAAATATGCCATTGGCAGAACAAAACTATGCCATTGACAGAACAGAACTATACAATTGGCAGGACAGAACTATGCCATTGACAGGACAGAACTATGCCATTGGCAGGACAGAACTATGTCATTGGCAGGACAGAACTATGCCATTGGCAGGACAGAACTATGCCATTGGCAGGACAGAACTATGCCATTGGCAGGACAGAACTATGTCATTGGCAGGACAGAACTATGCCATTGGTAGGACAGAACTATGCCATTGGCATGACAGAAATATGCCATTGGCAGAACAAAACTATGCCATTGACAGAACAGAACTATACAATTGGCAGGACAGAACTATGCCATTGACAGGACAGAACTATGCCATTGGCAGGACAGAACTATGTCATTGGCAGGACAGAACTATGCCATTGGCAGGACAGAACTATGCCATTGGCAGGACAGAACTATGCCATTGGCAGGACAGAACTATGTCATTGGCAGGACAGAACTATGCCATTGGCAGGACAGAACTATGCCATTGGCAGGACAGAACTATGCCATTGGCAGGACAGAACTATGTCATTGGCAGGACAGAACTATGCCATTGGCAGGACAGAACTATGCCATTGGCAGGACAGAACTATGCAATTGGCAGGACAGAACTATGCAATTGGCAGGACAGAACTATGCCATTGGCAGGACAGAACTATACCATTGACGGAACAGAACTATGCCATTGGCAGGACAGAACCATTTCATTGACAGGGCAGAACTATGCAATTGGAAGGACAGAACTATGCCATTGACAGGACAGAACTATGTCATTGGCATGACAGAACTATGTCATTGGCAGGACAGATCCATGTCATTGGCAGGGCAGAACTATGCCATTGGCAGGACAGAACTATGCCATTGGCAGGACAGAACCATTTCATTGACAGGGCAGAACTGTGCCATTAACAGAACAGAACTATGTCATTGGCATGACAGAACTATGCCATTGGCAGGACAGAACTATGCCATTGGCAGGACAGAACTATGTCATTGGCAGGACAGATCCATGTCATTGGCAGGGCAGAACTATACCATTGACGGAACAGAACTATGCCATTGGCAGGACAGAACCATTTCATTGATAGGGCAGAACTGTGCCATTAACAGAACAGAACTATGTCATTGGCAGAACAGAACTATGCCATTAGCAGGAAAGAACTATGCCAATAACAGAACAGAACTGTGCCATTAGCAGGACAGAACTATGCCATTGACAGGGCAGAACTATGCCATTGACAGGACAGAACTATGCCATTGGCAGGACAGAACTATGCCATTGGCAGGACAGAACTATGCAATTGGCAGGACAGAACTATGCAATTGGCAGGACAGAACTATGCCATTGGCAGGACAGAACTATACCATTGACGGAACAGAACTATGCCATTGGCAGGACAGAACCATTTCATTGACAGGGCAGAACTATGCAATTGGAAGGACAGAACTATGCCATTGACAGGACAGAACTATGTCATTGGCAGGACAGAACTATGCCATTGGCAGGACAGAACTATGCCATTGGCAGGACAGAACTATGCCATTGGCAGGACAGAACTATGCCATTGGCAGGACAGAACTATGCCATTGGCAGGACAGAACTATGCCATTGGCAGGACAGAACTATGCCATTGGCAGGACAGAACTATGCCATTGGCAGGACAGAACTATACCATTGACGGAACAGAACTATGCCATTGGCAGGACAGAACCATTTCATTGACAGGGCAGAACTATGCAATTGGAAGGACAGAACTATGCCATTGACAGGACAGAACTATGTCATTGGAAGGACAGAACTATGCCATTGGCAGGACAGAACTATGCCATTGGCAGGACAGAACTATGCCATTGGCAGGACAGAACTATGCCATTGGCAGGACGGAACTATACCATTGGCAGGACAGAACTATGCCATTGGCAGGACAGATCCATGTCATTGGCAGGGCAGAACTATGCCATTGGCAGGACAGAACTATGCCATTGGCAGGACAGAACCATTTCATTGACAGGGCAGAACTGTGCCATTAACAGAACAGAACTATGTCATTGGCATGACAGAACTATGCCATTGGCAGGACAGAACTATGCCATTGGCAGGACAGAACTATGCCATTGGCAGGACAGAACTATGTCATTGGCAGGACAGATCCATGTCATTGGCAGGGCAGAACTATACCATTGACGGAACAGAACTATGCCATTGGCAGGACAGAACCATTTCATTGACAGGGCAGAACTGTGCCATTAACAGAACAGAACTATGTCATTGGCAGAACAGAACTATGCCATTAGCAGGAAAGAACTATGCCAATAACAGAACAGAACTGTGCCATTAGCAGGACAGAACTATGCCATTGACAGGGCAGAACTATGTCATTGGCATGACAGAACTATGCCATTGGCAGGACAGAACTATGCCATTGGCAGGACAGAACTATGCCATTGACAGGGCAGAACTATGTCATTGGCAGGACAGAACCATTTCATTGACAGGGCAGAACTGTGCCATTAACAGAACAGAACTATGTCATTGGCAGAACAGAACTATGCCATTAGCAGGAAAGAACTATGCCAATAACAGAACAGAACTGTGCCATTAGCAGGACAGAACTATGCCATTGACAGGGCAGAACTATGTCATTGGCATGACAGAACTATGCCATTGGCAGGACAGAACTATGCCATTGGCAGGACAGAACTATACCATTGGCAGGACAGAACTATGCCATTGGCAGAACAGAACTATGCCATTGGCAGGACAGAACTGTACCATTGACGGAACAGAACTATGCCATTGACAGAATAGATGTATGCCATTGATAGGACAGAACTATGCCATTGGCAGGACAGAACTATGCCATTGGCAGAACAGAACTATACAATTGGCAGAACAGAACTATGCCATTGGCAGGACAGAACTATACCATTGGCAGGACAGAACTATGCCATTGACAGGACAGAACTATACCATTGACAGAACAGAACTATGCCATTGACAGGACAGAACTATGCCATTGGCAGGACAGATCTATGTC